CTGAGAATCAAACCCAGTTCGATTGCCTCACACATGCCAGCAAGTGCACTACCACTGAGTCACAGCCACAGCCACTCCCCAGCCCTTTTGTATTTTATTTATAGACAGGGTCTCATTGAGTTGCTTAGCGCCTCACCATTGCTGAGGCTGGCTTTGAACTCTCAATTCTCCTGCCTCAGCTTAACTAGCCACTGGCCACTGCACCTGGCTCAATCTGAAAATATTAAGTAGAAAAGTTCAGAAATAAACAATTCACAAATTTTAAGACTGGAGATTTAGCTCAGTGGTAGAGTGGTAGCCTAGTATGCCCTGAATTCTATCCCAACATCCCCCCACACACACACACACTGTTACATCCTACCTAGGACATGAATAACCTTATCCTGCTTATCCACACTGTATATGCTGCCCTCCTGTTAGTCACCCAGTAGCTATCTGAATTATCAGATCTATTGCAGTGTTTGTGTTAATTTAATAATCTAATACTAGGTCACAATGCCTATATTATTCACCTCATTTCATCTGAACATGTAGGCTTTGTATCATTTCACATCATTATAGGAAGAAGGGTAAGTACAGTATAATGAGATATTTTGAGATCAAGACCACATTGACAAAACTTTTATTACAGTACATTATTTATTCTATTTTATTATTGTTAATCTCTTACTATGCCTAATCTATTAATTAAACTATCATAGATATGTATGGTTAGGAAAAACAGAGTATTTATAGGGTTCAGTACTCACCTCAGTTTTAGGCAAGAAGTCTTAGAACATACACTCCACAGACGGGGGGGGCGCTACTGTGCATGAAACTGCTGTGCATGGGGCTGGGGATGTGGCTCAAGTGGTAGCGCGCTCACCTGGCATGCTTGCGGCCCGGGTTCGATCCTCAGCACCACATACCAACAAAGATGTTGTGTCCTCCAAATACTAAAAAATAAATATTAAAATTCTCTCTCTCTCTTTCACTCTCTCTAAAAAAAAAAGAAAGAAAAGAAAAACTGCTGTGCATACTATAACACTGTGCTTGTGAGTTGCTCCTGTTGTCCTTGTAGATATGGTCAGAGATTGTCAATGTGGCTAATGTTGATCTGGGATATAGTAAAAAGTCTCACAGCCCTAATTGTGAACTAAGCATCTGTGGAGAGAATTATGTGTGGTAAATTCCTGAGCTCTAGAACATGTTCCTTTAATCTTTGTTTTATTCATTTTTGTGCTAGGGATCAAACCCACGGTCTGACTGGTGCTAGGCAAGTGATCCACCACTGAACTACCTCCCACTCCTGGTCTGTTTTAGAAATTGCTCTCATGGTGGTCAGATTGTCATGCCTACCAGCTGAGCTCACAGGGACTTGGGGGCCACAGAGAAAGCTCAGAGGAAGAGATAAGAAAGAACTAACATTTATTGACAGATCTCCTTTGTTCTGGACCCTTCATATATTTGGGTTAATCTTTATAGTTGCCGTATGCATTATACAATATTCTCATTTTACAGATGAGGAAAGAGACTTAGGGTCATCACCAAGAAGTGATGGAGCTTGAATTCTAACACTGTTCCTTCTGACTAAAAGTTTTCTGTCGCCTGAAGAGGAACCTTGAAGCATAGATACTTGGGCTCTAACCTAATGGCTTCTGGTGTGAGGCTGTAGGAAGGGTGAGCCCCAGGCAAGAAAGTTAGAAAATTTAAAAAACAACACCACCTGTACTCCCAGCTACTTGGGAGGCTGAGGCTGGAGAATCTCAAGATCGAGGCTAGCTTCTGTAGTTTAATGAGACCTTGTTCCCAAAAGGACTGCGATGTAGCTCACTGGCAGAGCACCCTTGGGTTCAATCCCCAGTACTACAAAACAACAACAAACAAAAACGAAAACTGGGGAAAACCAGACAACTCTGTGGGCAAGTCTATTTGGGACCTCTGGGAGTGAAAATTTCCATCAGGAACCCTGTCACTTGTCTTCTTTTTATATCTGCTTCAGCTAAATTTACCATTCATCCATCCCTTCCCAAACGTTAATCAAAGCACCAGGCCTGTGCTGAGCCCAGCAGTAAGTTCCTACCTCTTGGTGCTACAGGAGGAAGCATGTCAACATAACACTGAAGAGTGGATGTAAAGTAATCCATAGTAAGCATAACAACATTACCATTTGCCCACAATTGCTTCTACTGCTGGGAGTATACACCAAGGTATTTAAGAACAGGCACTTGTACCCCAATGTTCATAGAAGCATTATTCATAATAGCCAAATGTAGGAAAAACTCGGATGTTCATTGAAAGATGAATAGATAAACAAAATTTGCTATATACATATAGTGAAATATTACTCAGTTTTTAAAAGGAATGAAACCCTGGTATGTGCTACCTCATGGATGAACCTTGAAGACATTAAACTAAGTGAAATAAGCCAGTCACAGCAGGCCAAATGCTAGATGGTTCCAGTTGTATGAAGTACCTACAGTAAGTCACAGAGACAGGAAGTAGAACCTCTGTTGCCAGGCATCCTGTGAGGAAGCAGTTAGGGAGTTTCTGTGGAGCGGTGCAGAGTTGGATCCTGGGATGGTACAATTCTGGAGAAAGGGTGGTGAGAGGCACAGCAGTGTGAGTGTGCTCCATGCCATGGAACTGCACACCTGCAAATGATGAAAATGGTAAATTTTATGTACATTTTGCCACAATATAAAAATGTAATATATTTGGAGCTTTTTTTTTTTTCTTTTTTTGGTACCAGGAATTGAACACAGGGGTGCTTAACCGCTGAGCCACATCCCTAGCCTTTTTTTGTATTTTATTTAAAGACAAGATCTTGCTGAATTGCTTAGGTTCTTGCTGAGTTGCTGAGGCTGGCTTTGAACACCCAGTCCTCCTGCCTAAGCCTCCTGAGCTGCTGGGATTACAGGCTTACACCACCACATCTAGCTGGGAGTCTGTCTTTTAAACAATATGAAAAGTTTAAATTATTAAAATAAATTTATTTTATGTTTTACCAAAAATAGGTAATGCAAATAGCCATATAATAACCTTTGTGGTAAGTGCTACAGAGAACCCTACCTAGTGTTGGGAGAGAGGATAACAGGTAAACCAGTTCTGGTTACTGAGGTTCTGAAACTGAGAAGGAGTTCTTTCAGAGAATGTCATTTCAACCAAGCCCTGAAAGGGAAAGCTTAGTGAAAGGAGTGGGTATGGGTGAAGGACAGAACATTGCAGACTGGAGGAACACAGCAAGGCAAAGTCTTGCCAAAGGGCCATAGTGTTCCTCCCAGGAGCAAATGGAATCCACTAAAGAGTTTGAGCAAGGGATTTTTATTTCTTTTATTTCAGGGCCTTGTATGTGATAGGTAAGCATTATAGATTCACACCCTGCCCTGGGATTTTTGTAACTTGACAGTCCATTTACCTACTTGAAATTAAGTAGAAATGGAAAGAATTTAAAATTTATTGTGGGCATACCGTGTGCTAGCTGCTTTTCCTGCCATTCTCTTCTTGGGTAGAAGCCCTGTGAGGTCAGAATTATAAGGAGCTGAATCCCTTGAGGACAAGGACTAGCATTTTTAAATCTCTATCACTAAGCATAACATTTGGCACAAGCAAGGTGCTCAAAAATAACCCAATGGTTGATTTTACAGCTGAGGCTCAAGGAGATGAAGCCATTTGACCCAAGTGAGCAAGTAAGGAGCTATGTGGTCTAAGAATGGGGCTAGCCCCAAGCCCACACCTCTGGTAGACCAGGCTGCAAATGCCAAAATCCCAGAATTCCCTGCTCATTTCCAGAGCTGCTTCCCAGGTCCCTTCTCTCAAGAACACTGGTGTGTGTGCCCCTAGGTCCAAGAAGTGGCCAAGGGGCAGACTTTAATGAGAGTGTGACTTTGCACTTACAGGCTACAGGGGACTGGGGGGGTAGTGTACTAGTTTCCTATTGCTGCTGTGTAAGAGTTACCACCAAGTTATTATCTCATTTTTGGAGATCAGAAGTCTAAAATAGAGCTGGATGTGGTGGCACACATCTGTAATTCCAGGGATTTAGGAGCCTGAGGCAGGAGGATTGAAAGTTTGAGGCTGGCTTAGGTAACTTTTAGTGAGACCTTATCTCAAAATAAAAATTAAAAAGGTGTGGGAATTAGCTCAGCGGTAAAGCACCCCTGGATTTAATACCTAATTAAAGAAAAAATCCAAATAGATCTCAGTGGCTCAGTATGGTGGCAAACCCCTGTAATCCCAGCAGCTTAGGAGACTGAGACAGGAGAACTGTGAGTTCAAAGCCAACCTCAGCAACTGTGAGGTGCTAAGCAACTCAGTAAAAAATACAGAATAGGGCTGGGGGTGTGGCTCAGTGGTTGAGTACCCCTGAGTTGAATCCCTGGTACCAAAAAAAAAAAAAAAATGGGTCTCAGTGGGCTATAATCAAAAGTATTGGCATTCTCCTGGCTGACCCCTGTTCCCTCTTTTCACTTTTAGATCTTTGTGATTACATTGAGCCCATCTGATAATCCAGGATAATCTCTCTGTTTTGTGGGTTAGATGACTAGGAATTTTAATCTCCCTTGTCATATTAAGATAATATATGCCGCAGTCTGGCTGGGCACAAAATAACGGAGCCACCATGAGGCACTTGTAGGTTCAAACAGGAACTTCTTTATTGCCCGAACTCCCGCAAACGCCACCCATGTGGCCCTCCCAGGAACGCCACACACCAATCAGAACTCCCTCCACCGGAACTTCACCAACCAACGTGAACTCTCCAGGAATCCCGAGAGAGCTCAACCGGAACTCAAGGGGAACTCCTCGAGAACTCAAAAGCAGTGGGCGCCTGAGGCAGCAGGAGCCGCCCTATTGCTGGACAGCAGGGGTCTATCTACAACTTAATACACAGCCTGTTTCAATCCAGCATCATCCAGTCACAGCAATTATACACAGCTTAACTTAATTATCATCATCTTAATGGCTCACTGGGGTCACCTCTCAACCATTCCTTCTGGCAAAATGCCAGGGGCCATTCTGACTTGGCTGTGGCTGTCAACAAATATATTCATAGGTTCTCAGGATTAGAGTATGGACACTGGAAGGGCCTTGTTCTGCTTACTGTCAGTATAGAGAAGTCTAAGGACCAGGGTCTAGTTCTTGTGCCACCACATTCCCAAGAACTTTTGAGAATTCCAATTAGCTTCCAGGCCATTAGGAAGGTATGTTTATCAAGGTAAAGAAGAGGATAGGATAGAATAGAAAACAAACCATATTCAACAGTTGTTGGCTTATTTTGTAACTCTGAAGTTTTCAGATACATAGTATGTAGGCCTCCATCTACACTCTTGACATCCACCCTGCAAAGCCATATGCAAGTGAGTGTTCAAGATCCCGTTATTTTCACCCCAGGGGAACTAGGCAGTAGGCTGCCACCACTCACACAGCTTTGATGGGTGTACAGGACTACCTCTTCTGAACCTCCTGAGAAGTTGGCCGTCTCCACCTTCTGAAACCAAGTCTCCTCCCATTCCACATCTGCCCTGTGCAGTTGCCTCACATCCACACCCTCCTCAGGGCTGTTTAGATTTGTTCATTATGGATTCACCCAAGAGTTGTTCAGCACCTCCACTGGAGCTTCAGAGATGGCTTAGTCATAGTCTGCCTGTGAGCTGGTGAGCGCACCAAAAAAACAAAAGGTGCCATGACAGGGGCAGTAGGGACTAGGTATCAGGGATGGCTGCAGAGGTCACATGGGCAGATGGATGGTGGTGAGTTTAGGTGGGGGCTTTTCAGAGGAAGTGGTTCTCAAATTGTCTTAGCTAGGCCAGGAAGCTGAGGGCTGGAATTTTGGGTGAAGTGATAGATCTTGAGGTCAGAGCAGGGCAAGTTTGGGGAATCCCAAATCTGTCATGGTAACTAGAACAGAGGAGGAGGTGGAAGGAGGCAGACGTAGGCTTAAAACACGAAGGGCTCGATTGATCCTGATGGACCACAACTTCATAAGGAGCCTAAATAGGATTCATTGTAACTTCAGCGCCTGGGAGAAGTCCAGCATGGAGCAGGGGCTTAGTCATTATTTGCTGAAAGAATGACATAGGGGGGCGGGTCCTGGTGGCGCGGCCGGACAGACCCTAGCGGCAGGAGTCTGCGGGTGGTTTTTTCGGGGGTGGCAAGCCTGGAACGCACGCGGTGCTGTACAACATGGCGGACGAGGAAGTAGTTATTTTACCAAAGAAACATAAGAAGAAAAAGGAGCGGAAGTCTTTACAAGAAGAAGATATAGCTGAAATACAACATGCTGAAGAATTTCTTATCAAACCAGAATCCAAAGTGGCTCAGTTGGATACATCTCAGTGGCCCTTGTTGCTAAAGAATTTCGATAAGCTAAATGTAAGGACAACACACTATACACCTCTTCCTTGTGGTTCAAATCCTCTGAAGAGGGAGATTGGGGACTATATCAGGACAGGTTTTATTAATCTTGAGAAGACAGGACACAGTGGCACCTTGGATCCAAAGGTGACTGGCTGTTTAATCATGTGCATAGAACATGCAACACGTTTGGTGAAATCACAACAGAGTGCAGGCAAAGAGTATGTGGGAATTGTCTGGCTGCACAATGCTATTGAAGAGGGGACTCAGCTTTCTAGGGCCCTGTTCCAGCGACCCCCACTTATTGCTGCAGTAAAGAGGCAACTCCAAGTGAGGACTATCTATAAAAGCAAAATGATTGAATATGATCCTGAAAGAAGACTAGGAATCTTTTGGGTGATTTGTGAGGCTGGCACCTACATTCGGACACTGTGTGTACACCTTGGCTTGTTGTTGGGAGTTGGCAGTCAGATGCAGGAACTTCGGAGGGTTCGTTCTGGAGTCATGAGTGAAAAGGACAATATAGTGACAATGCATGATGTGCTTGATGCTCAGTGGCTATATGATAACCACAAGGATGAGAGTTACCTGCGGCGAGTTGTTTACCCTTTGGAAAAGCTGTTGACATCCCATAAACGATTGGTTTTGAAAGATAGTGCAGTAAATGCAATCTGCTATGGGGCCAAGATTATGCTGCCAGGTGTTCTCCGATATGAAGATGGCATTGAGGTCAACCAGGAGATTGTGGTCATCACTACCAAGGGGGAAGCAATCTGCATGGCTATTGTGTTGATGACCACAGCAGTGATCTCTACCTGTGACCATGGTATAGTAGCAAAGATCAAGAGAGTGATTATGGAGACACCTACCCTCGAAAGTGGGGTTTGGGTCCAAAGGCAAGTCAGAAGAAGCTAATGATCAAGCAAGGTCTTCTGGACAAGCATGGCAAACCCACAGATAACACTCCTGACACCTGGAAGCAGGAGTACATTGACTACAGTGATTCTGGCAAAAGAGAGGTGGTTGCTGAAGTATTAAAAACCACACCTTTAGTTGCTGAAGTGGTAAAAGCCCCACAGGTAGTTTCTGAAGCTGTAAAAGTCCCAAAGCGGAAGCGAGAGAGTGAGAGTGAAAGTGATGAGAACCCTCCAGCAGCTCCCCAGTTGATCAAGAAGGAAAAGAAGAAGAATAAGAAAGACAAAAAGGCCAAAGTTGCATTAGAGCATGGGGGCGAGCCTGGAGATGGGGACAGTGACACCACAAAGAAGAAGAAGGAGGAGGAGGAGGAGGAGAAGGAGAAGAAGGAGAAGAAGAAGAAGATCTTTTGTTTTGAGGGAGTAGAACAAAGGTTCTGGACACGGTAGAGAGTTCTGGCACATTTTAGCTGCTACTTAAAACCTCAGTGATACTACCTGTTGTGGTCATCCCATCTTGTCCTGTTTTAAGGATGTGGGTGGATAAAAAAAAAAAAAGGCAGATTGTATGCCATTGACTTCTATGCTTGCTTGAGTTGGGAATCCTCAGTTTCAGACCTAGAACTGTCCAGTAACTGTCTGGATCTGTTTATTAATGACCATTTTTAACATTATAGTTCTCTCCTACTTTATTCTGGTTTTGTTTTTTTTTAAACTTGGTCAAAAAACTTGGAAAAATTAAGTCTGCTCAATGAAACGGTGTAGAACTCTTGATAAATGAAAGAGTAACTGAAACAACGTGTTCACTGGGGAAATCTTGTCTCCAATGGCCTTTGAGGACAGTGGTCTATTCTGGTGTTGGGTATGGGCCTCACAGGCCCAGTACTGTCCATCTTGTTTCTGGCCTAGCTGTCAGTCCTTTGTGTACTCGTCCAGTGCTTGTGTGTTCAGCAGCATTTACCCAAATCCATCTGGCTACTTGTGTTTGTGGCAGAAACAACTTTTCCTGTACCCTCATGTTATAAACCCTCATTTACATTTTAAAAAAAAAAAAAAGAATGACATAGGGTCTCTGGACACCCTGCTGGAGAAACTGCACTCTGAGAGGCCAGCAGTTTCCAGCCCTGGCTGCACATTAGAATCATCTGGGGAGCTTTAAAAACTAAAAACATCTTTAGTCTGAGTGTGGGACCTGGTGTTCAGAGAGGGTTAAAAGCTCTCCAGGTGATTCCCAGCCTAGGCTGAGAGCCAGGGCTAAAGGTCCCAGGGGACCATTAAAGGGGTTTATTCAGATTTGCATGTTAGAATCATTCTGAATTGACAGCTCTGTGGGAGATAAGTATGGCAGGGGCTGAGGTGGCAGCTGATGACAGCTGGTTGTAGCAGTCCAGCCAAGAATGAGTCCCAACTAAGGGAGAGTCAAAAGGACTCTGAGGGAGTTTAGAAAGGTACAGTCAATGGGATCTTGAGACCGGAGGTGGCAATTCAGGTCTGGCCCCCTGACTAACCATGTGAGCGCCCTCTCCTGGAACAGGGAGAGAGCTTTAGGGAGGGTTCCTCTACTGGTTCTCAAAATGTCTGATCTCTGTTGGCTGCTGACTGTTCCGGCCCAGGCTTCCCCTGGTCCCCTCCTTGCCTCAGGCCCTTAGTAATCCCAGTTACTTTCATTTCTTTACCACTGTGTGGGTGGGGCCTGTGGCCAAGGGAACAGTCTCCTTAGCCCCCTCCTCCATGCTGCCCCAAAGACTGACACTCCAGACCTGTTTTTTTACTTTTATTTTTTGGTGGTGTTGGGGATCGAACCCAGGGCCTTGTGCATCCAAAGCAAGCACTCTACCAACTGAGCTATATTCCCAGACCCCTAGACCTGTTTTTAAAATAAATAGGGAGGGCTGGGGATGTGGCTCAAGCAGTAGCGCGCTCGCCTGGCATGCGTGGGGCCCGGGTTCGATCCTCAGCACCACATACAAACAAAGATGTTGTGTCCGCCAAGAACTAAAAAATAAATATTAAAAAAATTCTTTCTCTCTCTCTCTTAAAAAAAAAATAGGGAAGGAGGCGGGGATATGGAGCAGCAGGGAGGTTATTTTCCCAACTGTTATGAAAGCAACATGCATTTAAGAACATGAGGTGGGGCTGGGGATGTGGCTCAAAGCCAGCCTGGCATGCGTGCGGCCCGGGTTCGATCCTCAGCACCACATACCAACAAAGATGTTGTGTCCGCCGAGACTAAAAAATAAATATTTTTTAAAAAAAATTCTCTCTCTCTCTCTCTCTCTCTCTCTCCTCTCTCACTCTCTCTTTAAAAAAAAAAAGAAAGAAAGAAAGAAAGAAAGAAAGAAAGAACATGAGGAGGGCTGGGGGTATAGGTCAATGGTAGAGCACTTGCCTAGCAAGAGTTGAGGCCCTGGGTTCAATTCTCAGCACTAGGGGAAAAAAAATGGGAAAAATTGAAAAAAATTTTAACCAATTGTATCATGCCCACATAAATTGAATCATTGCCATCAATCAGCTTGATGTGTTTCCTAGATATAGATTATTTTGTTTTGTTCCTTTTATAGTTGTAATCAACTGGTGACACTGAACTGATTATAACAATAACAAAGCAGCTTGAGAAAGCAAAGGGAAAATATACCCAGTGCAGGCAAGGGTGTGGAAAACACTTTCACACAGTGTTGGTGGAACTATGCATTGGTAGAGTCTTTCTGGAGGCAGTTTGACAGTATCAGAGTCATAAATATGCATGACCTTGACCCCAGGATTCTCCTTGGAATTGTCCTGCAGAAATAAATGTTCACGACACAAATTTAGGTGGATGAGGATGTTTGATGCATTTTTCCCCAGTACTAGGGATTGAACCCAGGGACACTACCACTGAGTTATATCCCTAGTCCTTTACATTATTATTATTATTATTATTTTAAATTTTGATACAGTCTCACTAAGTTACAGAGGTAGGCCTTGAACTTGCAGTCCCCCTACCTCAGCCTCTTGAGTTGAGTTTCTGGGATTACAATGTCAATGTCCTTGCCAATGCATTAATTCTCTTTAAATAAGGAAAACTTGGGGAAACCCCACATACTTATTGATATAAGTGAAATAAATTCCAGTCTGTCCCTAGATGATATGGGAAATGCACCACAGCACATTGTTAAGAGAGGGCACAGCACATTGCAGAGCACGTGGAATCCCATTTGGGTATTAAAAGCAAACACAGAAAATGTTTCTGCCTTGAAAGAAAGGCACCGAAGTGTTAGCAGTGGTGAATGTGAAGAGGGAACTGGTGAGTTGGTTAGGTAGGGATACTGCAGAAGCACCAGGGGCAGATGGGACAGTGTCTGAGATTCAGCCAGTGCAGTGAGATCACTGGGTTCCAAACCCAGAACTACCGCTGACCTTTACACTCAGCAGCTTCTGAACCCCAGCTTTCTCACAAGGAAGATGGGAATGAATGGCAGTTGCTTCTGTCTCCCAGGGCCCCGGCCTGCAATGGGAGCCAAGTATCTCACTCAATAAGTGCTTAGCATATGAATGTAGTTAATCAATATTAACTAACCCAGAGATTCCTGAGCTCACATTTCAGCTGAGCCACCAATTGGGCAAATTTCTTAACTTCTTTGAGCCTCAGTTTTTGTGTGAAAAATGTTGATTTATAGAAAGACACAGGGGCACAGGGCTATGATCTTAGCTACTGAGCCTGAGGTAGGAGGACTGAAAGTTTGAGGGCAACCTCAGCAACTCAGTGAGACCCTGACTCAAAGAAGAAAGGGCTTG